TAATAATAATAATAATAATAATAATAATAATAATAATAATAATAATAAAGGAAAAGAGAATCTGATGTCTACAAAATGCCAAAATTTCCAATGCTGTGTTCAGGCCACGGTACAGTCATTGCACTGAGGATCTGACGACGGTGAGATGACCGCACAAGAGCAGGCCAGTGAGGCCAGCCAACATTCCAGCAGACAAAATGAATAACTAGACCCAATCGGTAAAAAAAAAAAAAAAAAAATGGCGGAAGGGGAGAAAGGATGAGCTGGGGTTGTTGGGAGAGTGGAAGGGGTGTGCTTGTATGGATATATGTGCTCGGGATGCATTGTTCATATGTATGGAATTGTCAAAGATTAATAAAAAATGATTTCATTAAAAATATATTAAGCCCAGCTTGGTGGCCCAAGCCTTTAATTCCAGGACTTGGGAGGCAGAGGCAGAAATATCTCTTGTCAGTTCAATGCCAGCCTGGTCTACATATAAAATTTCAGGACAGTAGGGCTAATAATAGAGAGACTCTGCCCACTATATGTACGATATTAATATTATTAAAATCTCCTCGCTGGGCGGTAGTGGGGCACGCCTCTAATCCCAGCACTCTGAAGACAGAGGCAGGTGGATTTCTGTGAGTTCAAGTCCAACCTGGTCTACAGAGCGAGCACCAGGACAGGCTCCAAAGCTACACAGAGGAAATCTTGTCTCGAAAAATAAAAAACAAAACAAAACAAAAAACAACAACAACAACAAAAAAGATTTCCTTCTCTTTGGAGCTCTAACCGTGAAGATAGTTTCTTCTTGTGTTCTCAAGAGTGGCACAGAAATTTCTGCGTGATAGCTGGCCTGTAACTGCCTGTGTAGAACAGGCTGGCCTCAAATTTAGGACTATCTTACTGCCTCTGTCTCCCAAGTGCTTTTTCTTGCTAGCATCACTTTGTGGAGCCCCGATCGCTACCTTTTTGCTATTTTACAGGCATCGCTTATATTCATCAGTCTCCTGCCCACATGTCAGAGGGTCCACAGGATGCTTGGTCAGGCAGGTTCCTTTTCAGGGACACAAGAACCTTTTCTAAACTACCCACCCAGATCTGCTCAGGAACGTCCCACAAAAGTAAGGAACTCGCCTCAGGCCTTTCCTGGCCCAGGGAAAAGGGGGTGGACTGGGCGGGCCCGTGGGGAACCCGGGGCAGGGGGCGGCTCTTCTCCCAGGCTGGGCGTGGGCTGGGCGAGGTCCTCCGCGCAGCGCACCGTGCCAACAATGGGCTGTTGTAGAAGGAGGCAGGAATGTGGCCCGAGGAGTTGGGCGGCGGGGCGGAGCCGGGTCCCAGCGGCAGCCTCTTACCTGTCCAGGTAGCTCGCATTTCCAGGCGAGCGGCGGCGGCGCCCGCACCACCTGTCGCGGGGTGCGCGGGCGGGGAGCGCGGCTGGGGGCCATGGCCTGGTAGTGTCCCCTGGGGAGACGCTGCGGAGTTCAGTCAGGGGCAGGACGGGGCGAGGGAGGGAAGGTCCTTCCCTCGGGGACAGAGAGGTCTGCGGCAGCATGAAAAAGAATCAGACGATGCAGGGCACCTTCAGCAAACTCTTTGGGAAGAAGCATGCCAACCCTGCCACTACGTCCCTCTACGCCACCAACCCACCCTGGATTTTCACCCAGGAGGCCCAGGAAGAGAGACCCAGGGACTTTGGTGAGTGCACCCCAGGGGAAAAAAAAAAAAAAGGGAGAAATCCCGACGGCGCCTCTTCCCTCCCGACTCTGGCGTCACTTGGGCGCTGGGAAGGCGGGCAGGGGCAGGGACACGTTGGAACCTGCGGACGGGCCAAGGAGATGCTGGGAAGGGGGAGGAGGCGTCGCAGCCCGAGTCAGAGAGGGACCCCCTAAAGCGAGGCCGGCGAACCCCGCCACCCTCACCTGCCATCCCGGCTCCTTCGCAACCTTTGGTGGGGTTTGTGGCTGTCTTTCCTGTGTTCCACCGCATATCCGCATTCTCTCTGAGTCAGAAGTGATTCTGAGATCTAGGCATCTGTCCCTCACCCTTTCCGCTTCCTCTGCCCCGCAGAGAGCCTGCCTCAGGTGCCCTGTATTTCGCTCTGTTTGGGTAAGAAAAGTGAGCGACAACCGCGGCCACTGCTAACAGGTTGCCAGCCGTTCGCAACACCGAATTAGTTTTGTTTTATTTTTTCTTCCCCTTTGGGGCTGGGGGTGGGGACAGTGTCACAGGCTCTTGCCAGGTCCACTTGGGTCTGGGTTGTCTATGGTCTCAGATTAAGGAGTCAGAGGTGGGACAGTGGAGAGCAGGGAGCTCTTGAGTCAAGGGTGGTGCGCGTCTTTACAAACTTTTGGAAACTGGCCCTGTCCCAGGTCTGGCTATGGGTCACCTTATCTCTTCCTCGATCTACGGTCTTGACTGAGGAGAACCCAGGGAAACGGAAGACAGGTATTCACTTCTTGTTTCTGAACCATGATTCTGGGGTCTGATGAGGGAGACGTCAAGAATATCTCCCCTTACCGGGCGGTGGTAGTGCACGCCTTTAATCCCAGCACTCGGGAGGCTGAGGCAGGCGAATCTCTGTGAGTTCAAGGCCAGCCTGGTCTACAAGAGCTAGTTCCAGGACAGCTAGGACTGTTACACAGAGAAACCCTGTCTCGAAACCACCCCCAAAAAAGAAAGAGTATCACCCCTTGATTTGCCTGCCTTCTTTATCACCTTCCGGTCACTGCACTGGGCTACAGAGGATGTTGCAACCTCCATTGGTACTATGGTTTGTTTGACACCCATATTACTACGTTGGGGGCCAGGACAACAACAAGATGTCACCTCTCTCTGACCCAAAGACTTCTCACCAGCAGGCAGACAAAACTAGCAGTTTGCCTCCTGTCCTTAGGGGGGCTCAGCATGAGGAAGAGCAGAGAGATGCCTGTAAGGGGACCTAGCTCAGAGTGGAGAGGGAGGGGTATTCCTGGCAGAGCACAGGCTGCGGCAAAGGAAGAGAGAGCAGGGCAAAGTGGGGGTGTGTCTTAGGAACCCGAGGACACCCTTGCAGGCAGGCAGACTCCAGGAGCACTCTGGGAGGCCCCAACACCCACCCTTTCCTAGATGCAAGCTCCCGAAATGTTTGATGCTGACTGAGGTTTTGTCTAGTGTCAGGTACTAATATTGGCTGTCCAGGTGAGGACACCAAGGACCCAGGGGGCTACAGAACATGTTGAGGATCACAAGACTAAAATGGTAGCGCTGCCGTTGTCCCCGAGGGGACAAACAGACACTTTTCAGTAGACTGCAAACTTACAGAGCAGTCACAACCAAGCAAGTCTGACAATTTCTAGTACCCCAGGGTCTTGCTGGTGAGAGAGCCAACATCTGGACCCAGGTAGAGCCACACTCTTAGCAAGCTTGAAGACTTCACTCTGGAGGAGGGGTGTAGGGTGAATTGAACCAGCTCCCCGACTTCCTCTCTAAAGGGAATCTCTGAACAGCCTTCCCACACTCCCTATTTCCCCGATGACCAGACTGTTGCTAGGCATCCATCCTGGAGAGAAGAGGGACAGGGGACCCTGTCAGCTCTTACCAGTCTAGGCAGGGCAGGAGTCTAGGGGACAGCTCCTCCCTGTTCCCAGGGCAGGGCTGGGCCTTCAGTTGACTCAGCTAGGCTGTGTGTGCACTGGGCTGGAGTTTTGGGGGGCGGACAGTACCAACCCAGCAGGCTGGCTCTCCTGCGTTCTGGTTCTGGAGTGTTCCCTGGGGTGCTTACAGGCCTGAGAACCACTCCTTGCTGTGCTTGGGGTTGAGGAGGAAAGCAACTGGCGCTGGGGATTCTGGGATGGCAGTGGATTTGTCAGCCTTACCTATCTATCTGTCAGTGATAATGCTAGCGAGCTCCCTGGGCGTCAGTGGTTTCTGTTCAGTGCGTAGGGTGTGAAGACTGCTTAGATCAGTGGTTCTCAATCTTCCTAATGCTGCGAACTTTAATACAGTTCCTCCTGTTGTGATAATTCCCCCAACCATTAAATTATTTTGTTGCTACTTTGTAACTGTAATTTTGTTACTGTAGTGAATTGTAATGCAAATCTTTGATATTTGAGTGGCCCTCAAGGGGGCCACTTCCTAGAAGAGGGACTGACTGCCTGAAGTCATGTATATGACAACCTTTGCAAACACAAGAGGAAGGCAGCTTGTGGTGGTGCACACCTTTAATCCCAGCACTCGGGGAGGCAGAGGCAAGGGGAGGTTCGAGGCCAGCCTGGTCTACAAAGCCAGTTCCGGGACAGCCAGAGCTGTCACATAGAGAAACCCTGTCTCAAAAAACAAACCAACAAAAAAGAAACTGTTTCAGTGGGGCTATAAGTAGCTGCAAGAGAACTTTAAAAGAACTTTAAACTCTAAAGTAGCTGCTGCCCAGCCTTCCAGAAAGTTCTTCAGCGGTTTCACCCAGGTCATTGCAGCTTGTTGTTGATTTTGTTGAGATGTGGCCTGCTGTGTTGCTCAGAGTGGCCCTGAACTCCTGGACACCATCGATCTTCCTGCCTCTGCCTTCTGGCTGGGACCACAGCGTGTCACTGCCTGGCTGACTCCCACTCTGAACTTTGCCTGTCCCTGCCTACTTCACTTCCTTGTCCTCAGGTGGCTGTACTCCAAAGGAAATAGACCTGAAGAGGCCACCCCGAGGTCTCAAAGGGGTGGGGCACTCCAGGTCTAAGGGCCCCTGAGACTAGCACCTGCCGGGTTTTCAGTGCTGAGGTACGGGTGGCTGATGAAGGGGTGGAAATCAGAAATCCATGTATAAGTATGTGAAGGCATTGAGCCTGCCTGGCATTGGCTACCGCCACGTCCCAGCTCCCAATCTGTTTGCACAAGGGCAGGCTGGATTCAGATAAAATGCAAACAGGCGCAGGGGGTGATGGGTACATTTTTCTAGCCCCTGTGTCTGGTGATTTCAGCCCTACTGAATGCAATCACAGTTCTAATTAAGCCTCTGCCTCCCAAACAAGAGCTTCAAAGGGCCGTGCCATTGTCCTTTAAGTACTTGAGAAAACAGATTTGAATCTTCACAGATCTTTGTAGTCTCCTTTGATAAGAGACTGGGCCGCAAAAGCGGCTGCTGGAGCAGCCTGTGACCAGCCTGGCTGTTGCTCCACTTCTTGGGGCCTCTTAGCTCAACTCACCTGAGGTTCCTTCCCCACTGCTGAACCTCCCCATCCCAGCAATGGGAAGCTGGGGATTCTCCTGCCTGCCCGCATCTACCAAATGAGCAACGCCTACCCTGCACAGCCACGCCAGACACTCATCTGGTGCAGATTCCTCGAACCCAGGAACTGGGCTAGCATTCCCGACGTGCCTCATTCCCAGGTGGTTCTTTGTACCAGATGGCTTGAGGAATTCTTGGGCTTTCCTTCCCCTGCTGGAGCTAAACTGTTGGCTTTCTCCCAAAGACCCCTGCAGGGCATACAGCAGACTGGAAATCAGTGTGTGCTGAACTGTGGCTGTCGCCTTATCAGCATTCCCTGTGACGGCTGCTGGTTCTAGCATCCTTCTTCCTGAGACTCTCTCCCCAGGCCCCACACACTTTGCATACCAGGCCAGGCTAAAAGGTAGAAAGTCACAACCCTCCCGGAGCTGAGCGCCCACATCTAGCCAAGGCCAGATTCTCACCGGCTTGTAGGAAACTGACTTGAGATTTGCTGGGGTGTGAAGGAGACTTGTTCACACTCCTGTCACCTAGAGTAAACATGGCCTGGAGGTCACTGTTAGAGTGGGCTGTGGCTTCCTGGTTCAGCATGCGCTTGCACATACACCCCCCGACACACCCCATACACACCACACCACACACACACACACACACACACACACACACACGCACTCTCTCACCCTCCCTGTGGCCCCATTATGTAAGTACCTCTTTTGGCTGTAGCTAACTCCAGAAAGCGGCCCCTCCTTGACAGCTACAGCCCATAAGTTAATAATGATCATAGCATAATTTTCTTTCTTCTGAGGTATCAGCCACAGGACCCCAAGCCTGACTCATGTTAGGCAAGTGCCCAGGCGTGGAATACACCCCTAACCTGAGTAATAGCTTCACTGTCGGTTCCCATGGCCTGAGCTTGTAAAATCCACCGATTCTGTGTCTTTCTGGGATCAAGACTCCGAGGGGCAGCAGAGCATACCCAATCCCACGGGCCTTGTCAAGAGCTCCTGATTGGACAAGTTTGGAATGGGAAGAGGTTCAGAGTTTCTAGCAAGTTCCTAGTGAGGTCACCCAGCTACTGTGGGCTGAGATGGCCATCCTTAGGGAGACAAGGGCTACCTTTGCTGAACCATGTCCTCTTCAGTCCTACACTAGACTGGTGTCCTTTGGACTGCTCTCTGTTTTTGCACGATCCCTGCCCTACCTCCCTTCAGCCTCCCTTCAACGTCCCCTCTGCCCTTGGACAAAGGCCTCTCTCTGGTGCTTAGGTCAGGCCTGCTAGGGCTTGCTGGAACAAACTGGCCTTTTCAGGTTCCTGTCATGTGAACCTGCTAATTAGCAAGGAAGGGCCTCATTAATGTCATTTGTGGGCTACATTCACATGACCACCCCTTGTTGCTGATCCTCCGGTGGTGGGAGACTAGAAGTCCCAGCCTTCCCACCCCACTGTACGGGCCTCCACTGTGTGTCTGCTGTGTGGTATATTTGGGGATTCCAGGTTACTCTGGGACAAAGTCACAAGTCCCCTAAGCTATGACCCCATTCTTCCTAAGCCCCTGAAAGCCAGTAGATCTGTGACCAGTACTATGGAGGTCGCCAGGGGCTCCTGGGATTTTGGGGGCTCTCTAGCCCTTTTCGTACCCCTGATGGCTTCACTGCCATGAGCTTGGAATGCACCCTAAAATGTAGGAGTCATTATCCCCGCTTTACAGATGGGGAAACTGAGCCTGAGAAGGTTCATAGGTATTGTCTAGAGGAACTGGCTGTGAATCTGGATATACCTCCTAGGTCCTGTGTCTCCTCGTGGATTGCACTGACTACAGGAGACTCTCAGACTCTGCACTCTTCCCCCGCTATGCTGGCTGTGGCCAGAGGGAGCAGATTCTAGAAGCTGGCCCTTGAGTATTGGCCCCTCTTGTTCACCAGGTGTGGTACCGTGAGCCTATAACCTCTTCCAGCTTCAGGTTCCTCCTCAAAACTGAGACTCTCAAGTATTTTCCCTGACTGGCAAGATGACTCAGTGCGGGAGGCAGATCTCTGAGTGTGAGGCCAGCCTGATCTAAAGAGTGAGTTCCGGGACAGCCAGGATATCAGGGAAACCCTGTCTCACAGAAGACGGCCGGGTGGGGAAAGGCACTGCTGTATTATTGCATTCGGTCCCTAGAACTGTGCGAAGGAAGGTCTCCACATGCACTCTGGCTCACTTATGCTAAGAACATGCACCCAAGAGCTGTGGTTGGTATGTAAAATAAATAAAAAATATTTAGTTAGAAAAAGAAAAACAACATGCACGCACTAACACTTTTTAAAATGTTTTTTAGGAAGAGTGTTTTCCGCACAGGATACAGGACAGAGAGGGCAGGCGCGAGGTTGGAATGTGGTTCCCTGTGGCTCTGGGTTTAGCTCAGTGGTCGCCTGAGTGGTTTCCTGGCAGACACAAGGTCAGGTTCAGTTACCTGTAGTGCAAGATAAAGAACGGCGCCTATCCTAGGCAGGGTAGCTGAGGCAGGTGAGCTGGAGTAAGACCTTACCTAAAGAAAAGTAGTGCTCAGCACTTGGGAGGCAGAGGCAGGCGGAGCTCTGTGAGTTCGAGGCCGGCCTGGTCTACAGAGTGAGTTCCAGGACAGGGGGGAAAAGGTGCCTAGATCATAGTATACGCTTAATATGTACTAGGTACCAGTAACTTAATATATGTTAGACATTTATTTATTTATTAGTTAATTTTCTTGCTTCTTTGGGCAGAAAGAATATGAGCTAAGTCACTGTCCCAGAATATCTCTGCCTCAATGACCGTGGAGATTTGGGCCTGGGGAACACAAAGCGTATTTCACTAAAAGGTTTGAGCTCTGTGGAAACAGACGTGCAGAAGATCCCACGGGCTCCTCCTCTTGGGTAGAAGGGTAGGAAGAAAGGACTCAGAGTCTGCACGCAGCTTGTGCTGAGTCCTCAGCTTCCCCAAGGCATCCCCTGGGTAAAACACAGACTCACACACATGCCAGCCCCACCCCAGGCCGGAGAACCAGACAGGCCTGTTACGGAGGCATTGAGCTCCAGGTCATAGGAGACACCACACTGCTTGTGCTGGAGGCTTGTCTGGGACCCTGTGAACCCTGACACCACTGGGCCCTTGTGGCCTTGGTCCAGTCCCTTCCATTATGGGCCTCGGTCTTCCCGTGTGCCAAGAAGGCAGCCCCAAGCATCAGAACTCACAATGAACCCTGGCAAGAAAGCAAGAGGCCACCTCCCTCCTGTGACTCTTACCGTTGGGCACAGGTGATCTGACCCGATTCAGGCTCAAAGCCTTAAACTCTCCTCAGGAGAAAGGGGGTGGGAATCAGTGATGGTGGCGACGGCGGGGCCAACGTGTGCTCATGATTCCTTTGGCTTTTCTTTTAAAAATTACATTACATTTGTGTAATTTTTAGTGGTATGTGTGCGCATGCACACATGTGTGCATGTGTTTCTGTGTCCTCAGTGCCACTGTGTGGCGCAAAGGACAGCTGCAGGCGTCTCCACCATGTGGGCACCAGTGACCCATGCCAGGCCATCCAGCTTCTCAGCGAGTGCCTTTACTTGCTGGACTATCTTCCCAGTCCTTGGTTTGTTAGTGGTTCAGTTAAGACTCACACCTTGCTCACACGGCTCTCTTTCACGACACTCCCCTGACCCCGAAGGTCCTCTCCCCTTTCTTCTGGAAGCCTCTCACTCTGAGTGCAGGTCCTTGCCCTTCTGACCCCGAGTTCGCCCTGCATCCCCATGCTCGGCACTCCCAGAACCTCCAGGCACACAGCCCCTTCCAGTGGGCCTACAGTCAAGAAGACGGGCCTGGCATGGATGGGTCTATTGCTGTGTGTCAAGGATCCTAGCCACCCGCCTTCCAGCCACCTTCACCCCTTCCTTTCCTCTCCTCCCTCCTTGTCTCTCACTGGCCTGAAGCTGCTTCTCAGGAAGGCCCATTCCAGGGTTCCCAATTCTGTGATCCACAGAGTTCAGCTATTTTAAGAAGAAATTCCATGAAGGTGGGCTCCTGGAATTCTATCTGGTTCTGGTCCTTGACCTTGAGTCTTGGGGGAAAAATTTTGGCTTATGGTGGCCATACAATCCTCCCCTGATGCTGTCCCTCACTTAGCAGGGAGGAGGGTCTGGGACAGGCCTACCAGTCTAGCCACTGCCCCTTTCCTATTAGCTTTGCCTTTTTCTCTTTTAAAAGGATTTTTGCTGAGCATGGTGGCACATGCTTTAACCCCAGCACTTGGGAGGCAGACAGGGGCAGGTGAGTCTCTTTGAGTTCCAGGTCAGGGATATTTAAGGAGTCTCTCCCTTTCTCTTTGTCACACTGTTTGTGTGTGTGTGTGTGTGTGTGTGTGGTGCACGTTTGTGGTACGTGTGTGTGTGCATGTGTGGTGCGTGTGCATGCACGTATGTGTGGTATGTGTCTGCATGGAGATTAGAGGAGAGTCTGAGTCAGTCCTTCCCCTCCACCATGTGGGGATTGAACTCAGGCTGAAGGCTTAGGAAGCAATGCCCTTTACCCGTGAGCAGCCTCACCAGCCTAGCTCAGTCTCTTTTGAATAAATTACTGGGATTTCTTGTAAATCCTCCAAAAATGTGTGAGGAGAAAAGGAATCTGTTTCCATGTAACAGGCAACAGGACTCTGGTTAATTGGGATTTGTTTATTTCAGACAGGGTATCACTGTGTAGACTTTGCTGTCCTGGAACTCTGCCTCCTGAATGCTGGGATTAAAGGCACCATTACAGCAGGCTTTGCCTAATTGAGATTCTGACCTTTTTCCTCTGTGAATGGAGAGGAGAAGGCCTTCGTTTCCTCCAGTCCGTCAGACAGGACAGGCCTTCTGTCTTATGACCCGTAAAGCAGGAGGCCGTAGCTGTGACGGTGCGAGCCTGGGGGAAAAGGGGGAATCCTTATCAATGATGTCAAAGGTCACCAGGGAGACAGCCCAGAGCAGGGTCTGGAGGGACAGGAGGGCCCATCGTGTGTCATCCTCCCTTGGGGGAAGAGCCACAGTTGTTCAGTCCCTCTCTGCACTGGCCACATCTATACCTCAGAGCTGTTATATAAGGTTGGCACCATCATTTCCATTGTACAGATGGGAAAACTGAGGCCCAGGGAGGTTAAACAACATGTATAGCCAGTGGCAGAGCTGGGTTGTTTCTTAACCCTTGAAGCAAGATGGGCGCAGACACACGTGGGTGGTGGTTTGGGAGCACTTGACCTACAGGAGAGTGAGGGGGTATTGACCACAGGGAGAGCAGGTAGGGTCCTCTGATCTGCTTGTTCCGGATTAGAAACACAAACAGTTGAGAGAAGCAGCCTTGTTTTCTTCTGTGCCAGATGAGCTCAGGCGTCAGCCTAACTCTCAGGGCAGGCACTGTGTGGACGTGGAGGGTTATGAGGGTGCCCGGCAGGCGCTGTGTGGACGTGGAGGGTTACGAGGGCGCACGGCTGGCGCTGTGTGGACGTGGAGGGTTACGAGGGTGCCCGGCAGAGTATTGGGAGAATGGTGGCTTCTGGGGACCGAACGTCCCGAGAGCACAGCCCAAGTCCCTTCCACAGTGTGATCTTAGAATTGCCACTAACACACCTTCGTCTGTGGGACCTCGCTGTGTCAGAGGGGCATTCCTGAGTCACACCTGGCAACCCCAAGGCCTAGTCACCTTCCTGGATCCCCAGCTCACTGTCCCCTCTCTGTCCTTTAGATGGGATCTATTATGAAAACAGTCGGTTCAACACTGTGAGTGAATCCGGAACAGCCACGCTGAAAGCCCGGCCCAGAGTCCGGCCCCTGCTGACCTTCCTTCCCCTGGTAAGTGCTCAGTGCCTAGGCCTGAGCTCCCAAGTCGCCCGCCACAGATATCAGCCTGGAATTAGGAGAGGCACCCAGAGGTGGGTGTTAGCTCCATGCACAGCAGGAGTTATTTTTACTGATGGCCGGTGGCTTCCTACTGGGCCCTGGGTGCAGGGATGACATGGCTGGCACTGCTGCTCTCTGTGCCCACTGTAGGGATGCAGCTGGGCAGAGGCAGCCAGTGTGTTCACTGTGGATAGTCAAGAAGGGCTTCCTGGAAGAGGTGGCAACTGAACTTCCTCATTGGACACCCAGTAGTGACACGTGGGAGAAGGGCATTTGAGACGTGTGTGTGTGTGTGTGTGTGTGTGTGTGTGTATGAAACTACAGGAAACAAAAAATTCTCATCTTTTGTTCCAAGACAGCAAGACAGGATCTTGCTAGCCCTGGCTATTCAGAAACTTGCTATTTGGATCTTTAATGATTTTCCTGTCTCTGCCTCCCAAATACTAGAATTACAATTTCACCCAGCAAAACAAACACTTTATAAATACACACACACACACACACACACATACACACATACATAATATGTATACATATATATTGTATATGTATGTATGTATGCGTTTTTATTTGTATGGATGTTTGATCCTTATGTATATATGTATCATATGTGTATATGTATATATGTGTATTATGTATTTTTATCTGTATGGGTATTTGCCTTTATGTATGTTTGCACACCAGAAGCAGAAGAGGGCATCAGAACCCCTAGAAGTAGGATTATAAGCACTTGTGAGCAGCCATGTGGATGCTGACAATGGAACGTAGGCCCTTGGAAAGAACAGTCAACCATCTCTGCAGACCCCAAAGACTGCTCGGGAGTGCTGGCAAGATGGTTCAGTAGGCAAAGGTGTTTGCCACCAAACCTGGTGACTTGAGCTTAAGTTTGATTCCCCAGAACCCACACTGTAAAAGGAGAGCGCCAGCTGCTGCAAGCTGCCCCCTGACCTTCACACTCCAAGCAAGTGCTTGTTAAAAATGACCTCTGGGTAAATGGTTCTGTTTAGTGCCTGGACAGTTGCTGGGTTTTCTACGACTGTTCAATCAAAATTAAATGCAAGTCAATGCGTGATTTTAAAATTTCTAGGTCCTCTATTCAAAGTAAAAAGTGAATGCTACATGTGGTGGCTTAAGCCTGTAATCCGAGCATTGTGGAAGCAGGAGAATCACACGTTCAAGGACAGCCTGGGCTACAGGGGACCTTGTCTCAAAGGGCCCAGAAAACAAAGCAAACAAAAAGGAATAAATGACCCTGAGCTCGCTTCCAAGCACTGCAGAAACAAACAGAGCTGGGCTTGGAAGCCCCTCAACTCCAGCATTTGGGGTATGGGACCAGGTCATCCTTGGCTACATAGCAAGTAAAGGCAAACCTGGGCTACATGAGACCCTGTCTCAAATAACCGTGCCTTTCAGATCACTTTAAAAGTAATCTTGGAGGCTGGGGTTGTAGTTCCGCTGACAAAGTGCTTTTATGATCCTCTGTGTTCAGTTCCCAGCATTATAAAAAACAAAAACAAACAAACAAAATAGGACAGTCTGAGCCCTCCTGTGATTGCTGCACTTGGGAAGTAGAGGCAGGACCATCAGAAGTTCTAGGTCATTTTTAACTACATAATGAGTTTGAGGCTAGCCTGGGCTACATGAGACCTTGTCATGTCAACAAAAGCAGTGCACAGACAGAGGCAGACACACAGACAGAGGCAGATGGTGATGGCACACACCTTTAATCCTAGCATGCAGGAGGCAGGGGCAGGTGAGTTCAAGGCCAGCCTGGTCTACAGAGTGAGTTCCAGGACAGACTCCAAAGCTACACAGAGAAAGCCTGTCTCAAAAAAGAAAGAGAAACCAAAGGGGGCTAAAAAACAAACAAACAAACAAAACACCCTAAATCCTGACCATGCTGTTTCCCGAGATGCGTATAGCGGTCTGTGAGGCTGTGGCAGCCAAGATGATATCGCCGTCCTGTTTCTAGACATGAGTTCTGTTCTGTCCCTAGACTGGTTGTTAGATCGTGACTGGCTCCCCTTGTACTGACCCCTCCCTGACCCATGACTACAGGATGGATGAGGTTCCTCCACTCTCCTATATCTCTCCCTCCTGCCCACTGTGGGCCTTCCGTGCTCCCTGACTCCCCCATCTGGGCAGACCCTAGGGAAGCTGGTGGAAGGTTTGCCACAGGTCCTGGCTTAGAGGGTTGCTCAGGCCTGGGGCCTCCTGGGGACTTGCCCTGGGAGCATTCTTTCTGAACCAATCAGGAAGGCTCCACTACGGAGAATGGGAGAGAAAACACTTGTCAAACCAATAACTAAAGCCCAGTTAGGTCCATGGGATTGTCCTTTATAGACCAGGAACTGAACCCACATTCCTTCAGTGCTGGTTAAGTCTGTCCCACCCACTCTGTGATCATCATTACAGAGGTCAGACACGTGAACAGAGGCCCCCCCTCTCCAAACCCTCATTTTACAGTCACAGAGCTATAGCCCTGAGACAGGAAATGGCTTGCTTATGGTCCTGTAGACCCAAGCCCTCTACAGCCAGATAGATGCCCTCAGACTGCCCTGACCGTCCCTCCGAGCCCCGCCTGGCAGCCTTTGTCTCTCCATTGCGCTCGCATCTCTCTGGCTTGGCCCTCTCCATCCCTGCCCTGCCGCCTCTTGGCTCTAAGACCCTTGGAGCCTCAAAGGATCTACAGTGGTCTTCGCTGAGGACCTGCAGGCCCCACTGAAGCCGTCTCTGGTGTGCTTTCGATTCAGGCCCCTTGGCCTAATTGCAGTTCGGATCCTGCTTCAGGTTACGGGACTGGCGTAGCTTAGGGCCTCGTTCCCCAGCTGCTCCTGGAGAAGCGCAGTGAGCAGCTCAGGTTCTCCTCTCTGACCTCAGACCCCTTCCATAGCGCCGGGCTTTCTTCCAGTGCCCCAGGTGTGTGTGAGCTCACCCACGTGTGCGCACAACACCGGCCCCCAGTCCCATGTCAGTGTGGGAGGGGCCCTGGGCCAGTACCTGAGCCTTGCCCCTTTTGCCTGACATTGTATTAAACCTCTGAGGTCCTTAGCCCTCCCCTTCCCTCCCACCTGCAAAAGGCACCACCCAGGCCAGGAGGCAGGGAAGGGGAGTCACAATGCATCATCACTTGAGAAAAAGGGTGACAGGCTCAGCCAGGGTCTTTGAGCTCTGCCTGGGCCATCTTCTGAATGTCCCCTCATCTTGAGTACCTTTCAAGAGCCACCCGGGGACGCATTCAAAAAGAGGTTGCCCGCCCTCCGATGTCCTCACTCTAAGAAATACTTTCTCAAGTGTCCACAACCAAAGGGAAATCATGAAGCAGACCCTTGGGTTCCTTGGTGACCAGGCTGGGCCCTGGAATTGGCCATCGGGTACCTGTCCCCAGTCCCAACCCTGCCTTGGGTTATGGAGTGACAGAGGGTCAGGCCTTGTTCTCTCCAGTCCTCTGACTCTTTGCCCTTTGGTGGGTTTTCTGGGAATGGTCCTCTAGGTGTTCCCAACTGTGACTTTACTAAGTGACTCTATAGTGCACAGGAGGGGCATGGTAAACTCTTACACCAGCTTCAGTTGCTTCCTGGAGATCAACCTTCCCGGAGTTTGCTGTCTGGCCACCAGGTCCACTCACCTCGCTGTTCTGGAGGCTTAGAGGACCTGGCTAGAGCCACCAGACAGCAGAAGTGGGTGGACCTCAGCTGTCATCAAGATGAGAACATGTTGCCAGCATGGTGGTGCAGGCCTGAGCTCCCAGGAGCCACGGCAAGGAGGCCTGAAAGTTAGAGATCGGCCTAGGCTACAGGTAGCCGGATCTCCTTTCAAAATAAAGATACATAAGTGCCGGGGCGTGGCTCAGTAACAGAGCTCTTGTCTAGGGTGTGCAGTACGCTGGGTTCACTCCTGGTGTGGGGTGGGGAATGAGAACACAGAGATCTGGGCCCGTAAGAGATCTCGGAGGATAAAGACTATGCACCCATGCCGCCAAGCCTGCTGCATGGCCTGAGCGAATCCCTGGAGCCCGCATGCCAGTCATCCTCTGACCTCTGAGTCATCTGTGCGCGTGGCGCTCATACACGAGATACAGAAATGTAATAATAGTGATGATAACAATAATAAAAAGAATGTTGGGCCCAAGGAAGGGAAGGCCTGCCCTGGACAAGAAGAGAGGCCAGGCTTGGTGGCCTACGCCTGTAATCCCAGCACGTGAGGCAGAAATGGGAGGATCTAGTTCCAGGACAGCCAGGGATCCACAGAGACCCAGCCTCCAAACGGAGCTGGGTCTTTGGGGATTTGCCACAGGCCTCTGGGAGAACAATGTCTTCCCTGTGTCCTAGGGGAGATGGAGCCCCCAGCTCTCAAGGCAGAGCTTGCCCCGTATTTGCGAGAGCTAACCCTGAGCAGCGGCTGAAGGAAAAGATTGTACTTTCCTCTGGGGTGACCTCTTCCCCCACTCCTGATCCGGTCACCCCTAGGCTGATGCTTATGAGAAATTAGAAATTAAATGCCCATGTGGTAAATATGGACAAACTGGCTAGACAGGTCTGGGGGTGCCCAAGGCGGTGAGAGCTCCCTAGGTTGCCCTACCCTCTGAGTCACACAGGCCTGGCCTTGCCAAGGGGAGGCATCCCTGAGCTGCAGTCTTCTTCAGGTTCCCTCCCTCAAGTCCTTGGTTACCTGGGAACTCAAAGAAACAGCTGAAGGCAACTCCAGCCCTCCCATGGAGCCTGCCCAGCCATTTGGGGAGCTTAACCCTAAACTCAGGGCCCAGACAAGGCAGTGTGGGGTTGGACGATTCATGTTGGTGATGTTGAATGGAAAGGTTATGGGGTAAGAGGTGTCAGAGGCCTGCAGTGAGAGTAAAGTTGGAGTGTTTGCCCCTTCCCCACCCACCTGACCCCATGACTCACCAGAGCCCACCGTCACCCTTACCTTTAAACAGCGGCCTCTGGCCAGCC